AGAGAAAGAAAGAAATTGTATGGAAGATGATCTGGTAGAAATAAGACAGAAAAATTTCTGAAGATATCCTAAAAAAAAAAAAAAAGTCTGTTTCTGTGCTGGCTGGATGAATTGTAACTCACCTTTGCTCTACAAAGGATTTGAGCAGCTTATAAATATCTATGTCTAAAAAGATCATAAAGAAATGTATCATCTAAAAGGAATTTAGGATAGAACAATAAAATGAAGTAGAGTTAAACTAGAACACTGAAATGTATCTTAGAAATTCCTACAGTTTATTTTAAAGGTGCTTGGAAATTTATCAGAGAAGAAAGGGAAATATGAACAATTCTGTATGATCCTCAATGTCCATGAGATTGAAAACAACAGTTTCTCAGAGACACACAACTTTGATGGCCTCTAATAATGCCCCCCGCCAATGCTTCTGATGATCCCTAAGAGATTTTGTGTGATGTAATGCAATTGTAGTAACATAATTCATTTACATGTTTTGTCTAAATGCTTTAACACATATTTGTGGGAATTCTGTAAAGGACCAAGGGTAAATTGATAGTGTTCTATCCCTCTGAGTGTCTCACTTAATCAAAAGATAAAATACAGACTAGAAGGACTGTTTCCAGCAGAGAATGCTTGTGTGTTTGCACATGCATGAATATGTGTGTATATTTAGGGGCCAGTAAAACTGAACAAATTTCTCTTTAGCTAGCTGAATTCTGGGTGTGGATATCTTTTGTTGACAGTGAGGAGCAGATTCATGCTATTAAATAAATAAGTAAGCAGAACATAAGTTTTATTCCATTTAGGAAAATTTAAATGTTTAACTCCATTTTCATTTCTCGAGGACATAGTATATCAGATTAAAAACATATACCATTTATTAAGTGAACCAATCATAAGGCATGCTGTTTAAATGAAGTTTAGTGAATTTTCTTTCAATAAAGTTTACTAGATTTGAATCAAATTGATGTATACCATTAGAGAAGCTGAATTTAATAATTTTATATATATTTAGAAATTTACATTTAAGTAAATTTTATATTAAGTAAATTATATAAAGTAAATTTAAGTAAAAGTATTTTTACTTAAAATGTAAACCTGCTTAAGACTTCTTATTTTTAGAAGGCATAGTTGATATAGTTGAAAGGGGAAATTTTTATTTTCCTTTTTTATCAAAGATGTATATCTTATTCATTATCTTGTTGATATCTCTACAAATATGAAACTCATATGTTTTGTTTTATGAGTGATGGGCTTATTTTATGATAAAGAAATTCCTTCTGAAAATATTGGAATTGTATGTATCCCAGAATTTTAGATTATGCTCAGAGTTGTATGAAGTAACTTTTTAAAAAAATAGAATATTTAAAGTTCTGTCAGGAATTTCTGTCTCCCTTTTTGCTTCATAGTGATTTAAAAACAAAACAAAACAGAACATTTAGTTTCTTAAATTTTCAAAAGGGTGAGTGAAGGCGGTGGCAGTTTTTGTATAGCCCTCTCACTGAGTTATTCTCTGAAAAGAACAACTCTACTCGATGAATATTTAGTAAAGATGGCCTATCAGTCTCAGAGCTGGTTAAATGGTTTAACACATATTTGTGGGAATTCTGTTAAGGACCAAGGGTAAATTGATAGTGTTCTACCCCTCTGAGCGTCTCACTTAATCAAAAGATAAAATATAGAATAGAGGGACTATTTGCAGCAGAGAATGCTTGTGTGTAAACCTGCTTAAGACTTCTTATTTTTAAGGCAATTCTGGAAAGTGCCCTGGCTCCTGGGAGGAGTAGACTGTTGGTAACAAGTACATTGGTTTATGTGAGTTGATCACTTTCATCCAGGGACCCCTATGAGTGTTAAGATAAAACTGTGTTCTCAACTCTACCTGCATGGAGATTCTAGTGTTGAGACCTTACTCAGGAGCCAGTTCATTTATTTGTTCCAATCATGCCAACTTTTCTAGGCTACTTTTACCATTTCTTGGGCTTTCTTTATTTTTTTTTTCTTCCTATGCCTTCTTTACCATGTTTTTTCTCTTTTATTCTCTATCATTTTCCTTCCCTTTCATATTTTTATTTCTTAGCTGTGTTCATTCACTTGCCCTTTATTTTGCAGTAGAGTTATTCCATGCATCTTTTTTCTTCTCAAAATCCTGATGCTCTAAATTTCCTACATTCCAGCTTCTGATTTTGAAGAGAGAATTTTGAGATATAAATTTTTCTTAAATGTGTGAACACATGGCTTCAAGGAAATGAAGAGAACAGTGAAAGGGATAAAGGTTAGAATAGGAGAATAAATTCCATTCAAGTAGCTATTGGACTGGAGGAAAACTGGGAATTTGGGCATAGGTATTCAGAATGCTTGATAACATTTATAGTAAGCATTGTTTTCTAATACATTGTTCTGATAAATTGCACTGTTCTTATTGACCACCAGAGTCAGAAGTTTGTTTTGGGGGGCAGATTACCAGGTCATAAACTATAGAAAAAAAAGCTATGAAGCATTGTATGCATTTCTTTTTCTTTTCTTTCTTTCTTTCTTTCTTTTTTTTTTTTTTTTTTTTATGTGGGTACCAGGAATTGAACTCAGGGCCACTTTACTACTAAGCCCCAGCCCCAACCCTATTTTGTATTTTATTTAAAGACAGGGTCTCACTGAGTTGCTTAGCGCCTCACTTTTTGCTGAGGCTGACATTGAACTCACAATCCACCTACCTCAGCCTCCCGAGCAGCTGGGATTACGGGTGTGTGCCACTGTGCCTGGCCCATGGTATGCATTTCTAATGTAAAGAACTACCAGGAGATCACTTGACTGTTCTAAGGCTATCAAAATAGAAACAGCAAGAAAAGAAAGTTTCCCCCATGTGTACCAAGGCAGGATTTATCTTCAATCTATTATTTGGGAGGATTTGGAAGTAATAAAACATAAGAGTCTTCCAGATTTGGGATTTAACTGTTGACTAGCTTTGATACTAAAGATCTTTATTCAAATTTGGTGAACTCTGGTGTTGAATTCTAAGAGTTTTTTGGAGTTGTCTGGAATTATGGTTGTATTTTAAGTCTACTTGTTTATGTTCTGCTGTCACCATAACATCTATTGGTGACTACTTCAAGCTTTTCTCAATGATTTTGTTTTGAAAAACGACTCAGCTAAAGTTCAAGAAGTAGCCAAAGGCAAGGCAAGTATCTTTGCTACCTCTTGTAAAATCCTTATTCTCTCTTTCCCTACCCAGCTCACCCAACTTTTCATGGTGGCACCCAGTTTCATATCTTGATCATTCTTTTGATCTTTCACTTATTCTCTTATTCATTCCTATAATTACTTAGTAAATATTTTAAGCAACTGCTATGTGCCAGGTACTATTCTAGATGTTTTGGAATATGATAGAGGAACAATTTTGACACAAGTTGCTGCTTTCATGGAGCTTATGTTCCAGTGGAATTGAGAGATAATAAGTAGGCACATCAAGTAAATTGTGGAATGTAGGATGTGATGGTCCATGTTTTGGAGAAAGTAAAGACTGGGAATAGGGAATGTTGCAGGGTAGGGAGTTGCTACTTTAAATAGATCACTCCAGGAGGCTGGAGCAAAGTCCTGAGGGACAGGTCAAGGAAGCAGGGCATGCAGATATCTTGAAGAAGAATGAGCACTCTGAGCTTTAGAGAATAGCTGCTGTGGCTTTGGAGACCTGGTGGAGTAGGGAATCATTGGTATATTAGAGAATGGAGAGCTTGCCCAGGTGGCTGGAGCATAGTGAGCAAGGGGGAAAGGCAAAGGTGGTTAAACCTGTTAGGTATCATGGGCAGGTCAAACAAGGCCTATGGACCTGTCTAAATATGGTGATATTCATCTGAGCACAATGAAAACTTTCAGTGTAGCTTAATGGTATGTTATCTGTTTAAATACTAAGTACTTTTTAATTATTCTGTAGCATTGTCACGTGCATCAGTTACAAAGCTATTGAATTGGGAATGTCAACATGATTGTGAAAAGTGCCTGCTATACTTTGTGTCCTGTATCTGGTCTGTCAGTCACCGGGAGCAATGTGATAGGCAAGAGATATAACCTTTAGTCTTCATCCTACCACCAACTGCTTGTGTTAACTGCTGGGGATTCTTATCTTCAAATACAGAGGGTGGATGAGATTAGTGGTTTTCAGGCATTGGGAACTCCTAAAGCCCCTTTAAATTTTTTAATTAATTAATTAATTTATTTTTGGTACCAGGGATTGAACCCTGGGACACTTTAACACTGAACTACATCCTCAGTCCTTTTTATTTTTTTAAATTTTGAGATAGGACCTAAGTTGCTGAGGCTGACCTCAAACTTGGAATCCTCTTGCTTCAGCCTCAAAAGACACTGGGATTACAGGAGTGTGCCACCATGCCCAGCTTTATTTTTAAGTTTTTAAATTGCATTCAGGCTTCACTTAGAAGAAAGTTCCCCTCAGCTTAAACAAAATTCCCAGTGTGGTTATCTCTTTTGTTTTCCAGTGTGATGAATTTGCAGTCTCATAGAAGTTCAAATGACAATATTCCTTCTGAATCCTTTATTACTCAGTGTTTCAATAGCAGTATTAACTATCTCTCATTGAAGTCAGAAGATAATATGTCAACAGTTAGATAAGGCTTTTGAGATCCCATCCTTCAAGACTGAGGTGGCTTCCATTATATATGAATTTTAAATAAGTGACTAATATAAGTAAACATCTTAGTCAGTACTCCTAGCACAACAATATAGAGATTAGCACTGAGAAAAATAACTGTGGTTGATGTGCAGAGAAGGACCATTCCAATTTTTAAAAATAATGAATGACGTGAGTGTTTGTCATTATATGTGTTATATTCTGCATATAGTCATATTCTCATAATCCATTAATATATTTGGAAGAGAGACTGAATATTTTTAGTACTTATGGTTAAAGATATATTTTACTGAAAATTTTAATTTTTTGACTAAGAATATTTTTTTAAAGATATTGACCGCTTGCTTCCTTTCCAATCCAGAATCTCAATCTGCTATTTTGGAAACTCCGGAAAAAAGTTCAGATGCTGCCCAGCAGGTAAGGAAATCTTATTAGGATGTCAAATGTTTATCTCATTTATCTTAACATCATGACAGGCTCTGTGATTTATCTTCCAATCTGCTCTGCTGGCTGGGTTGTCTTTGTTCCCCTAAGCCTTTAGGGGAACTGGTCAGGCAGAAGGGGATATTTTCTTTTATTTGTGTTTTTCATGGAAAATCGGCCTTGAAGTGGAACTGAGTACAAGTTTTTCAGAAGCTACATCATTCTATATCCAGCCAAAGAGCTGGGCCCAACAACAGCTCTCTCCAGCAGGAAAATCTGGCCACTTTAGGAGACTTCTCTTCTGAGATGGGCCTGGCTGAATAGTCCGATGGATACTTTCTTTAAAATAATCTTTCAGAGCTTTTCTAAAATCAAATAAGACTTTTTCCCCCCTTGGTGGTGGGAGTGGGATTTAGGCCCTTGTATAGGCTAGGCAAGCAATCTACCACAAGCTACATTCCCAGCCTCTTAAGTTTTTAAATTGCTTTGGTGGAAAAAATATTATTTAGTATCTGTTTAAATCCATGGTGCTTTTTTCTGTTACAGAAGAAGCCAAAAGTTTTGTCTTTTTTTTTTTCTTGTGCTTAAATGGACTTATTATTTAAAAAAAAAAATTGGCAAGGAAGATAATATTTTTGTGGAACAATAATTATGGATAGTAGTTGATATTTTATATATAAATTTTTTGGTTTAATTTATTTATACTTTTGTCCAACTGTGCTTCTGAAAATAACTTAGTGCTGTTAGAAATCAACAGTAAAGGGGATGTTTGTTCTGTTGAGTGCGGTCTAGCAGGAAAAAAGAGGACTCATACTTGTGTTCTACACCCAGATCTGTTTCTGGTTACTATGTAATGACATATGTAGAGGATCTGGGACAGTGCCATTCTCTGTAAATTAAAGAATTGTTCATCCTTTAAAACTCTTAAAAGCCTAAATTTAGAGTCTATTTGCTAAGTGAAATAAGCTAATCCCAGAAAGTCAAAGGTTGAATGTTTTTTTTTTTCTGATATATGGAATCTAGTCTAAAATGAAAGAGAGAGAAGAAACAAGGATTTGTTTGGGGGGCTTCCATCAAAATAAAAGAAAGATCAGGGGAGTAGAAGAAAGGGATTGAGGGGAAGGGAGGAAGGATGGGATAAGGGAAAAACAGTAGAATAATCCCATCTAAATAAGAAAATAGGAGGAAGGAGAAGAGTAAGGCTAAGGGAAAGTACTGGGAACTGATATTCATGTATTTATAATTATGAATATGATATTTCACGTATAATTTTGTCAAAAGGAATCCTAGCGTTATGTGTAACTAACTTGAATCAATTAAAATTGAAGGAAAAAAATTTTTAAAAACTAACTTTCCATTTGAAGAAGCAGCCTTGCATCATACATGAAAATTGTGCTCCCCCTGGAGGAGAAATGAGGCATAACATTAGCATAGAAAATAGTCCATGATGTTTCACAAAAATACAGCATCATATGTGCTATTATAATTAAAAGCAAATCTGCTTGTAAGGGCAGTGTAATCAAGTTTTTTCAGCTTATTTGTTTTTGCCAGTGAAGGGACATACATCAACCTGGGGGTACTTGGAGAGGCATGGTGGACTCAGCTGATGGGTTATTTAATTAACTACAATCTAACCGAAAGAGAATTAGATAAAGCTAAAAAGAGGGAAAAGAGAAATAGTAAATTCAGTAAAATTAAGAAAAAAGAATGCCTTTAACACATCATCTCATTATTTTTTGAGCTTTTTGTTGTTGTTAAGGTAGTCATGGTTAAATTGTTACCTGAAAGAAAATGTTAATTTTTTCTAAATTTTATGTTCAAGTGATACTTGACTGAATTCTTTGTTGTATATGATACTGCCAAAGAGAACCTAGACAAGAAGTATTCTGTAATAACAACATGATAAAACATGTACAACACTGTCTTCTATATTAATATTATAGTTATAATATCTTTAAAATACACACTCATGTGGAATATTATTATTTATTTATTTTTGGTACTGGGGATTGAACCCCCGGGTACTTTATTCCTGAGCTACATCCCCATTCCTATTTATTTATTGTTACTGGGGATGAACCCAATGGCATTTAACCTCTGAGCCACATCCCCAGCCCTTTTTTATATTTTATTTAGACACAGGGTCTTGCTAAGTTGCTTAGGGCCTCACCAAGTTGCTGAGGCTGGCTTTGACTTGCAATACTATTGCCTCAGCCTCCCAAGCTGCTGGGATTCCAGGCATGTGCTACCTTGCCTGCTCTCATCCGTTTTTTACTTTTTATTTATTTTGAGTCAGGGTCTTACTAAATTGCTTAAGGCCTTGCTAAGGCTGGCCTTGAACCTGGTATCCTTCTGTGTCAGCCTCCTGAGTTGCTAGATTACAGCTGTGTGCTGATGCACTTGGCTTATGTGAAAGATTATTTAGTGATTTTTCTCTTTTCCTTGAGGTATGGTCTATGGTAAAATATATTGCAGTAAGCAGAAAACCTGGTGGACTAGGGGATTTAAAAACAGAGACTTAAGGGTGAAATAGATTGAATAAATATTCCTTATTTGAACAATGAAGTGTCCAGAAGTCAAGAAATATTATAAATTAATTAAGAGTTAATAATATTTGGAAGAAGTTGAGGTTAAGAACATAACAATGGCATGACTGACTTTTGCGAACGTTGACTCCTTGTTATAAGTTTTTTTTTTTTTTAATGGACTGGCTCATTTTCGATGTTTTTTATTTTTCATAAAAGTCTAAGTAACTGACCATAAGGGTGATACAAGGAGCTAGAGTTATCAACCTACTACTGTATACTTATTGTTTTACTATATTATATTGTGTATTCCTTACAATACTTCTTTAAAATAATTATTTTAATTCACATTTTACTGATAGAGAAAAATGATGTTGATAGGAGGTAACAGTAATTTGCCTAAAGCCACAAAATTGATGAAGGGAGAAAATAAGATTAGAGCATATGCATTTGATTCTATACCTCTACAATGATTAAAAACTCATACTTTTATAGTGCAAAGCTAAGGCTGTTTAGTATCATTTTATTCCAGAACCATTAGATGGAGGAGATGAGAAATTAATTTTGTTGTCCTAATAATTTTAAGCTCTATTATTTATAAGAATTAGATGTCAAAAATCATAGAATTTGCAGGGAAATGGATGGCATTAGAGCAGATTATGCTAAGTGAAGCTAGCCAATCCCTAAAAAACAAATGCCAAATGTCTTCTTTGATATAAGGAGAGTAACTAAGAACAGAGTAGGGTCGAAGAGCAGGAGAAGAAGATTAACATTAAATAGGGATGAGAGGTGGGAGGGAAAGGGAGAGAGAAGGGAAATTGCATGGAAATGGAAGGAGACCCTCAGGGTTATACAAAAGTACATACAAGAGGAAGTGAAGGGAAAGGGAAAAATAATACAAGGGGGAGAAATGAATGACAGTAGAGGGGGTAGAGAGAGAAGAGGGGAGGGGAGGGAAGGGGAGGGAGGATAGTAGAGGATAGGAAAGGCAGCAGAACACAACAGACACTAGTATGGCAATATGTAAATCAATGGATGTGTAAGTGATGTGATTCTGCAATCTGTATATGGGGTAAAAATGGGAGTTCATAACCCACTTGAATCAAAGTGTGAAATATGATATATCAAGAAATTTGTAATGTTTTGAACAACCAACAATAAAAAAATTAAAAAAAAAGAATTAGATGTCAAGATACATTATAGATACATATAGGTATATTAGTTTACCTATACATTTGGAAGTTCGATGTGCTAAATTGTGATAGTTTTACTAAATTTAGTGTTTTATTGCTTTTTTTTAAAAAAAAAGTCTTTATGATTTTTCACATTAAGCACCTTGCTCTTTTCTTTTTAGTCACTAGATGGCAGCTCTGTATCTTTGTAAATTACCACTGCAAAGGAAGTAAGAGGATTTAGGCCTGTTTGCTCTATATGAATAATAAATATTGCAGGTTTGCTTGTCCATCTGGTACTGCCTGCAGTGTTCTGTGGTCAGAATGAGATCCTCAGGACTGCTTGGTCAGCTCTGCAGCGGAGTTGGAAAGCATCTTTTAGGTTTTTCTTCAGATGTGTGTTCAAGGCATGTGTTCTCTCAACTGAAGCTAATTGGAATTTATTAAATGAATTTTGACTTTACTCTCTCCCTGTAGTTAATAATTCTGAGAGCTCAATATCTGCATAAAAAAAAACAAATCTGCAAAATCTGTATTGTTCAAAGAATTATGTCATTAACTGAAATAGGACTTTCAATATTCTTCTCTTATCCTTTGGTATTTGAAATATTAAATCCTTTTATACTCTAAAGGATTATAAATAGTTAAGTGTCAATTATTTTGTCTAAAAATGTTTGCTTCAAGTTAAATATTGGTGTACATAGCATGCTTTAACTGGTTGTCATAAGGTTTAACTTATTTTTTGTTCTTGAAATTATATACAAAATTTTTATTTTGAAGCATTTTCCTAAAACTCTTTATCTTTCTAATGTTAATAGATCACTTGAAAGGTAAACAGAATTAAAAAATTTTGATTTTTAAACACTCTAGCTGTAGGTAATGATTGATAATATCAGATAATTAAAAGTTAAATTACAATATTTATTAGTAATGAATAGCCACATTTATGACAAAGTGCTAAGCAATAAAAAGAAACATATAAGGACTATCTTATATATGTTGAACAGTTTATATGCTAATAAGGTCTCAAGTGTCAGAACAATATTCCTTTCCCATCAGCCCTAGAAGGGCCCCTTATTACCCAATTCAATTACAAATTTACTTGAATTAAAAATTATTTTCCATTGGATTTTCTTAAAGTATCGATATAGTGCTCTTTATACAATGACCTCTCTGTGCAATTTATCAGTTTTTCAGAAGTATCTTAATTTAGGAACAAATAAAGGAAACAGAGGAAAATGATGTGGAAAACTTAATTGATGGTACCTGAAAGATCATGTGTCTTGGCATAGAAAGT